CAGGATTGCTGCCTCTGGAGAGGCAGAGAGGGGGGAAGCAGGGTGGTGGTCATGCCCTGGTGTGTATTTCCAGCACCTAGCTGTGCTTTGCTGGGGGGAAAGGAAGCCTGGTGGCTTTCACAGGCCTCGTGAGGAGCTGAAGCCAAGAGCACAAGCGTTCGTGTCGCGGGCGGGAGCGCTGGGTGCGGCTCTGCCCGTGTGTGGGGCACAACCTTCTCCCTTGGAAGGAAGAATTGGGTGTAAATGGCTGGGACGTTTGGGCAGTAAAACCCCAGAGTTCATTTTAAGCCTGCGTTTGAACCTGTTTTTCAGCCAGAAGCCATTTCTGCTTTCACCTCTGACCCTGCTCTGTTCTCCTTCGCCGACTACTTCTGCAAACCGACGGCGAACATGGGCCAGGTATGAGGGTGCCTGGAGGGGGACTGGGGTGACTGGGGGGTGTGAGAGAGAGCCCACCTTCAACTGAGCCACAGAATTTAAGCCCTTCAAGTAGTAGGGACAGGGAATCCTCTGAGGGCTGGTTTGTGAGGCAGAGGTGTGGAACAGCGTTGACCCTGTCGCTTTGGTGTCGTTTCTTTTCCTCAGAAACAGGAAATCCTGGATCTCTTCTCCTCAATCCTTTACGAGTGTGTGACCCAAGAGAACCCCGAGATGCTACCCACGTACATAGCAATAGATCAGGTGGAGTAAACAAACCCTTTTTTCCTGTTTTTAAAGGAAAAAATTTTGATTTGACGTGAGTTCGCTGCCTGTGATTTTGTGAAGACAGAAGGGAAGAGGGGGAAACATATTAGTAAGTTCTGGGGAGACAGCAGAGATTTTAAGGGCAAATTCATGAAAACTGAAACAACACCAGAAACAGGAACCAGCAGTTTTTCTCAGTGGGTGCTCAGGAGGGCAGCCCTGGGCAAGGAGGGGTTTGAGGGGAGTCACTTTGCGTTTCTGACAGCAACATCTCTCTCCTCCTCCAGCTGTTCTCATGGTCACTGTGTGTTCCCCTCTGCTAGGCTGTGAGGAGGCTGGAGAGGAGAGAAATGTCCGAGACGTTTGAGCTGTGGCAGATAAAGCTGGTGTTGGAATTCTTTGGCTCCAGAAGTCACCAGGAGAGGATGAGCAGGAATCCAAACCGAGGGCTCTTCATGAACTCCGAGTTTCTGCCCGTGATGAAGTGCACCATTGATAACACCCTGGATCAGTGGCTTCAAGGTACAGAGAACCTGAATCCTGGCCACAGCTCAGCGTGGGGAGATGGAGACTCCCCTCAGTGGGTTCCTTTGCTGTTGCCTTCCTGTTCCCTCCCACAAATCCTCCTGAGATGTGATGATGTGTCCTGTCTGTTGCAGCTGGAGGGGATGTCTCCCTGCATTCCTACCTGAGTGGGCAGCCCCCAGAGGAGCCCCAGCTGAGCATGCTGGCCTGTTTCCTCATTTACCACTCTGTCCCCACACCAGCTCAGCTGGCTGCAGGAGGCCTGGAAGGTGAGGCTGGAGTGCAGGGCAGCACTCAGGGCTGGCAGGGGGGCACCTCCCTCTGCTAAAAGGGGAGATCTCACCCTCAAAACCCCCTCAGTGGCGAGGGGCTGCTGTTGCTGAAGGCTTCTGGGGGGGCAGAAGAGGCTCATTTTGTTCCTTTTCACCCCTTTAGGAAGCACAAACTTCTCAGAGCTGCTGCTGAAGCTGAAGCAGCTGAAGGTGCCCGTGCGTGCCCTGCTGAGGCTCGCCCCTCTGCTGCTCAGGAACCCCCAGTCCATGGTGCTGTAGGTCTGCAGCCTCCCTCCAGGGCAGCAGAGCCCAGCCCTGCTCCCTGCTTCCCAGACACAGGCAGCTCAAGCCTGCTTCCTTTGCTGACTCCTGAACCTTCAGACTGGACCCAGGAGGTGGTGGCTGCGACCAAGAGTTATTTATAAATTGTTACAGTGAATTAAAAAAAAGAAAAGAAAAGCAAACTAATAATAAATTTACTTTTGTAACTAAGGGTTGTTTACCAATATGTCTGGGGGTTTGGTTTTTTTTTTTTTTGGTGAATTCTGAAAAGACCTTGGCTGGGAACCAAACAATTGCCTGGGGTTTCGTAACATCTTTGCGTGTGATGTGTCTCCCTGGGCTTCCAGAGGTGGTGGGCAGCCCAGGAAACACCCAACTGGCTTTGGATCTCTGCTGGGTGGGACTCAAGCCCCTCGCTGTGCTTTTCAAGAACTGGCAGCAGCTTTCAGCCTCCTTCACAGCATTTATTTGCTCTCTGTCTCAGGGAGGCTCCTGTGGATCTCCGTGACCCCGCGGGTGCCCGCGCCCTGACTCACCCCCACTGTTTACATCTGCTTTTTTTTCTTTTGTTGTTTTCTTTTTCTCATCTTTGTTCTGCAATTAGTCAGTGGCTGCTGAGAAAACACCTGCCTCCACTACGTTACGTTACGTCTGGGCAAGAACTGAAACTCTTTATTTCCATAACTGGGCACTCGTTGGTGTTTCCTCCAGCTCCTGCTCTGCTGCCCCATGCCCTTGCCCAGGCTGGTGCCCCCTTTGCTCTGGGCAGCCCTGGCCCTTCATTTTTCACACCATTTTTCACACTTTATTGGAGTTCCTCTAATAAAAGCCACCAGAAGCTGAGGGGTGACTCAGCCAGAGCTCAACCTGTTGGATTCTGGAGTTTCAGATTTGAAACCTTCTATTCTGTAGGAGTTGTGCTGATCTCGCTTCCATTTTTGGGGTTTTTTGTCCTCAAGCTCTCAACTTAGGGGAGCTGGAGGAATTTAGGGAGGGGACACATAGGTGGAGGAAGAGTGATGATGAAGGAAGCAAAAGCAGGAAAAAGTCACAAGCCTCATAAAGGTTATTAAAAAGAGTGTTTAATGGGTATTAATGAAGGTTTTCAGTCCTGAAGGAGGGATCTGATCTCCAGCTGTTACAGAAGCATCATTTTGGGTTGAAAAAGACTTTTTTAGATAGTCAGATCCAACACTTCCAGGTCAGCACTAACCCCTGTGTGGTGATGTGTCCTGAAAGGGATTCCTGCCCAGTCTGGGGCAGGGGCTTGCACTTGAGATTGGGTAAAGGAGAGGAGGCACTTGGATGGCTGGAGCCTGGAGGGGTTGGGGTTTAGACTTTTAAGAAATAAAAAAACAAAACTTAGCCCTGAAGCTAAGTTCATGGGATGAGAGTTCAAGCCATTAACCAGTCTGGAAGCCTCCAGGGAGCCAGGGTTGGTGTGGTACCTCCTCCCTTGGTGCCACGTTGGGGAAGTTGTTTTCTTCCTTCTAAATCCCCAACCCAAAGCATTAAACCCTTCCCACAGCAAAGCAGGCTCTGCTTTCCCCACCTCTCCATCCTCACTTCTCCAAGGACATTTGTCTTCTAGCCTCCTACAGCCCCCCCCACCAAGACAGGAGGAGTCCCAGGGCTTGAGCTCTGTTACTTTTTTTTCAGGAGGAAAAGCAGAAAATGCAAATTCTGGGGTGAAAAGCTGGGAAACCTGAACCTCTGCTGCCTAAAGTGTCCCCTCTGCAGAGTTGTTTGGGACCACACTTGGGTTCCTGAGGTCTGTAGTCCAACCTGATGTCTCAGCAAGCTCAGAGATGAAGATTGAACTGCAAAGAGAAGGGAAAAGCAAAGAAAGGGGGTTGGGGAGAGGGGGGTGGGGTGGTGGGGAAGCTTCCCTGGGGGTGGAGGAAGCATCTCTCCTTGTGGCCTTCCAGGATCTTAGGGGG